ATCACGGGGATTTATAAATAAAAATCCTCATGTTACACTCTGTTGCGTTGTTTCAAAAACTGATGCCATTCATCTCAGCAGGAGTTGTGCATTTATATAAGCTGTTCAGTCAGTTGTACTTTCAAATATGGACTGTTGCCAAATCAGATCACTTCCCATTAATCAACGTTTAAACTTGAAACCAAACTGTGGGCAATCAGGTAATATTGAGAGTGAGAGTGCATAACTAATTGCCAGCCCACACATTTCCTTCCCAATAGCTATTGTCAATGAACTGTAAAAATGCAAATGCAAAGTTCCTTTCCTTTTTTTCATTCTTGCTAACTGAGGCTTATGAAAATATTGTCCTTCTATAAATTTCAGGAAAACACACTGAACATAAAAAAAACTCCCCCAGGGGAAAAAAATGCCCTAACCAAATGGTGAACAAGGGCAAAGCAAAGTCTGTCCTTAAGTTTCTGCAAGGAGCTCTGAATTATTTTAACAGCAGACCTATGCATTGCACTATAACACCAAATTACTCAGAAAATGCATGCAGAATGGAGATGCTGTTGTAAATGGCAATGATAAATGTATATCAAATGATGGTGCAGACTGTTCAGGAAGAGGGGGCAATGAAAGTAAAAGATTATCTTTTGACCCTTTGAGGTATTTAGTTCCTAGTTTTAAACCACAAAAGTTCTGAAGACAGTTCTCACCTCAAAAGCTGCTACTGTCTCATGAAAAATGTTTCATTTATACATATGAAGTCAAGCATGAACTAAATGCTTTTTGAAACTGGATATTCAGTGCCCTTCAAAATCAAGCACTTGCCTGGGTCTTGAATGTTGATATTTAATAAGGAGATTTCTCATTTCTGAATGTCACATGTTTTTAGACTAACTAATAGATATTCATGAGTAAAACACTAACGGAGAAATGTGTCATAGAGAAAGCAATCATTTAAAAGCATGGTTTTAAAATAATGCTGTTTAATGCTTGGTAGCTTAACAGTAATTGGTATATCTCTTTATTTGTGAGCTGAAGAGGCTTACCTCCCCAGTGGTCCACCCCCACTGTCAGCAGAGGCTTCTTTCCTCCAAGCTAGAGCATATCCAGACTGAATGCTTGATTTGGCATGACAAAGGGCAAGTAGAAATCTCTAGCAGGAGAGGGAAACTCCTGAAATGGATCTGCCACTGACAGAACAGACTCATTCTGGAAAGCTCTGCCCTCAGCTGCAGGTCCCATGCCTCAGATGGAGAGTCCCACTCTTTTCTGGTGTGACAAACACCAAAACAACTGCTCAGGGAGCCACTCCTTAACTGATGGAGTGGAATCCACAGCAGGGTGCAGGACATATTTCTTCCTGTCACTTTAAAACTGATTATCAGTTGTTCTCACAGAGCAATAGTAATCATCTTAGTTGAAAGTCTTCACAGGTTTACCAGAAAATTAATTCAAAGTATATGCAAAACTGAAATGTTTATATTTACACAATGAAAGGAAGGAATGGTAAAATTCAATATGAAATCTCCTTGCACTGTGTAGAAAAGAACAACAAAATATTTCAGGTAGGCAGCTGTGTACAGCTGACAGCTTGAAGAGAGTCTTCTACCAAGAGTTAAATTCTAACATATCTGCCTCATCATTCATCTGAGCGAATCTCAGCTCCAAATCACTCTCAGATCTTTTTTTTCTTCCTTAAGGCATCACGCATTTCTCAGTGAAACAGAATGCTGGGAATGCTGCAGCTATTGCCACTAAGATGCCTGCTGCCTGTGACTCATTATCTAACTGAAGTGCTGTCCCTCTCTGCAGGGTCACGGGGTGACTTCTCTGTAAGAGAAGCTGCAAAAAGGATTCTGAGCAGAGCATTTGGAAAACCAGAGGGCATTGCAGCTCCTCACCTTTTCCTCTTTATGTAGTTAAAGCTGAAAGAAGGAGCTTTCTTGGCAGACAAGGAACTTTGCATTTGGACATATATTGTGTCTCCAAGGGAGTTAGCTCTTCAATCTATTCATTCAGCTCGAAGTTTTACAATACCTTCTTTTCTTGGGTGAGGCTTTGTTTTACTGCACTATGAAGTATATCACTTGCAATTAAAAAAAAACAAAACAGCACTATGGTGTTCTGCTAGGAAAGCTGTCTGCATCTTCTGTTTCTACGAGCCTTTCTGTCTGCTTGCCTTCCTCCACTTCCTAATCATTTTCCTATTTATATCCTTGATGTAATTTCAGTTCTAATCAACAAATAAAAAGGCATGCTGATACTTACAACCTTCTTTCTTTCTGCATTCTGATTCAGTGCAGATTTTGCTACACTTAGCCATTCTTTTTTCCAATTATCCCAGTTTTTCCTGTCTGAAGGCAGCATTTATTTTTAAAGCAATGTTGTACAAAACCATTATTGTTTCCTAAACTCTGCCCACTTGCATTATTCAGGCAGATCCTGGAAATCAATGGTCAGGTTAAAGACTGCCTGCAGAAAAATCAGAAGAGCTTGCTTTTTTCATCAGCTTTTGCCTTCTCCCATGACTTTAACAAGTGTTTCACAATAGAGATGCACAACAGGCTGAGAAGACTGTACTTGAAGCCCATGTTCATAATATGATGGCCTGGAGATGCAAGTTTCAGCATCCACTGTGTAAAGGCTTATATCAGATAGGTACAGAAAATGAGGTGCAATTTTACTTTGGAAACTCCAACTCCCTTGATATTTACTATAGAAGATTTGGTAACAACTTAAACACCTCCTGCTGCCAAAAGTGTTCCAGCATCAGATATGCTTTTTCTGCTCTCCCAAATCTGCTCAAGATTTAGCAAGAAAAGAAAGAATGGAAAGAAACTAAGGTAGGAATTACTCCATTAATGCAGATTCTTCTGGCAAATGAGAGAGATGAATGAGGGGCAAAAGGAGGGGAAAAGGATGAAGTCAGAAAAAATGAAAAGAATTAAGAAAGTAGGGTAGAAAACTATAACTGTATATCATGTTTGTATAAAACATTTCAGTATTGTGTGCAATGTTAAGAAATTAGAGTACTTATTAAATAAGGTGAGCACAGGAGAAAAAGAGAAGTGCATAGGAAAGAACAGAGGAAATGGTAGTGGGCTGGAGGAAGAATCCCAGTGTAACATTAAGCCTTAAACTTTTTTGAATATGTATCATTTCTGTTGACCTTAAGAAGAGGTTTAAATGAGGCTCTTTCCCACTTTATACAGAAACATTTTTAATCTATGAGCCTGATGCCATCTGTAAGCTCTGCTTTGCCTATTTTAACTTGCATGGTAGGCTTTATTAACTTTAATGCATTGTGGTCAGGTCAAAACTGAATTCTAGGTTGTCAGTGCTATCCACTGCCAAAACTATCTGCTTCCCACATGTTATTCTACTATTTCTGCATTGTGGCTTCATTTTCTAGAAGTCAGTGAAACATGAGTGTAGAAACAAGATCTGTAGATACCATGTAAAGCAGAAGTCAATTTGACCAGTACTGTTGAAATCATTTGCAACTCTCAAGCTGTTCTCACAGAGCAATAGTGAGGTTGGACTGCTACTGCTGAGACTGTTTTGTAGGAAAAAAACAGTTGTAAGAACACCAATGTGAACTACAGGAAAAAATATTCATATTTAAATGAAAAAATAATTTTTCTTCCCAGAAATACTACACATTGTTTTTCTCACTATACATTCTGTGCTTAAAGGAATACTCTCTAGCTTTCTATAAAGCAATTTTAAAAGTACTGTAAGAATTACTTGAGTATCCTATGTAACCTACTGAAGGGAACCTGCTTTAGGAGAGAGTTGGACTCCAGAGTTTCCTTCCAACTCCTACATTTCTGTGATCCTTCTTGATAGGACTTTTTCCAATGCTGGCTTATTTATAAATGAATATTCAAAAGTTGAAGTAATTCTAAACATGACATCAGCTCTTTTTTTTTTTTTTTTTTCTGGAGCTTAGAAGAAGGCCATCTTTTCCTCCCAGCAACTTTCTATTGCCTACAATGATGAAACAAGCTAATGAGCTTGACTACTCTCATTTGCCTTCCTTGTAGGACATAAAACATAGATCTAATTTTTATACGTCTGTTGGAATGTGAGTCTGCATCTAACAGATATTTCAGAAAGCTTCACCTCCTCACAGAACAATTAATCTGAACAATATTGAATTCCATGTAAAAATTACACTAGTGCAAGTAAAATATATTACTTTCTGCACAGAGTAGCTTCTTTTCCACTATATTGTTAGAATTTAATGAAATAAGAGGAAAGTAGTGCAGCAATCTGCATCTGAAAGCTGAATAATCAGTCCCTGTGGATACATGCATGTATGGCAATGCTAAGAGGAAGCTCTGATTGCCTGTGCTTACTTAAATGCACAGTTTTAAACATAATTCCTCAAAGGAAATCTTTCAGGATTAGATCTAGAGGGCAATCCATCCCTTTACTGCCTTTCTGTGTATGTTTGATATGCTTTTGCAAGTACATGACACTGTGCTTATGGGAACACTGAGAATAAAACAATTCAAAAGAGATACATTAAAATGCTGAGAAGCCATTTAAGCTCTTCTCTTGTGTAGCACCTGCAGGAGTGACCTGAATTACCGGCATAACTCTGCCACTGACATTGACTGCTACATGCAGGAATGTGACAGGACACACTGGGAGCTGCAGGGCACTCAGCATTTCCAGCACCAGTGTAGGCAAGAAAGGAGAGTGTGGTGTTCTGCATCCTTGCCCTGGGGAGAACACTGATAGATAGGGGCATCCACTACCAAATCAAATGGAGTTTGGCTCCTTCATACCACTCTCGTATTCGTTATGTATGCTTAAAAAGCAAAACAAAACAAATCACAGGTCTGACGTCATGTTTATAAGAAAAGTCTTAGACTGAACACAAAATTGGACAGAAAATCTTTCTAGAAACTTAGAAGGCATCACTCTCTTAAGAAAGAAGGGTAGGCAGAGGTAAATAACAAGACAAGAAAATTGGCTTTCTAGCACTGTGTGAAGCTACTTACATGCACTATTAGTTTTCAAGACACCTTGAAGATGGTCTTTCAACGCACCCAGCTGCTCCTAAAGGCTGCACGTAGGTGGGATGCTCTTGGCAGCGCTGTTACGGGGAGCAGGGCTCCAGCCCACCTCTGTGGGTTTCTGAGGGCTTCAGGCACCAGCACACAGCAATCAGCGCTGCCCGGAGGGAGAAAGACGCACGGTTACCCTGCTGTCAGGAGGTGCACGCCGACCTAAAGCACCACAAGGAAGCCTTGCTGTGGCACTGACAGCCCCACCAACCCCCGCCCATCTCCAACCAACGGCTCGGTTAGGGAAAGCTGACAGCCCTGGGGCTCGGCGTCCCTGCCCTCAGGCGCTGTCACCGAATGCGGGCGGACACCCCGCCCCTCAGGCATCGTACCGGGCTCTCCCGCTCAGCGCCCCTCGCTCAGCGCTCGCACCGGGGCCGGGTTCCCTCAGCTCCACAGGTTACTCAAGTTCGGCGTCGGCGTCGAAAAGTCCGCTCCGCTGAAGGCAGCCCCTCCACACGGGGCCGCGTCCGCCGTCGCAAGGGGCGGGCGCGCGCGAAAACCCCGCGGCGGGCGGGCATCGCGCTGCAGCTTTAAGAGCGCGGGGCGGCGCTGCTGGGCACGGTCACGTGCGGCGCTGGGGCCGGAACCCGCGCTCGCAGCCGCCTGAGGAAGCGCCCCGAGCCGGAGCGGAGCGTCGCGACCCGCCGGGCTCTGTGAGGGGCGGCGCGCGTGCCCGGCTCGGGAGCGCGCTTCTCCCTCTGCTCCCCATCCGCGGGGACGGTGAAGGAGGGCGGCGGCGCGAGGATGGAGCTGTTTCAAGCCAAGGACCACTACATCCTGCAGAGCGGGGAGCGGGCGCTGTGGTGCAGCCGGAGGGACGGCAGCCTGCAGCTGAGAGCCGGTGGGTGCGGCGCGGGGCAGCGCGCTAGGACCGGGCGGCTGGGCGGCTGGCTGCGTGCCGGCGGTCGGGGGAGGTGAGGGAAGATGGCAGCGGAGGGCGGGGGGGGGGTCGCTGAGGGGAGCGCTGGGAATGGCGGCGCGGGGCCGGGCTGGTGGCAGCGCCGAGGGGAGCCGAGCTCCTGTCCGCGCGGCGCCGCGCTCCGCTCGCTTAACCTGGAGCTGAGGTGCCTCCGGAGCATCACTCGAGCCAATGGCCATCTTGCGTTGGCGTCGGCCTTATGTAAGCGGTGCCTGACGGTGCTCGCAGGGGTGTTCTGCACTTTTCTCTTCTAGGAGAAACTGGACGAGCGCAGCCGCTTGCGTGAATGGCTCGCGAACGTTGCTAGCGACTGCGTAACCCGGCCGCGCTTGGGCTCGGGCTGCGGTGAGGCAGAAGTTGTGGGCACGGAGTTGTGTCAGCTGAGGTGCTGCGGCAGCGCTGGCAGCGGTACCTCGTGCTCACCGACAGGGTGCGAAGCGAGGAGTGCGCTTGGTTTGGGGGACGCGCGAAGCTGATGTGAGCTACGGTTCCCTGCATCTCCTGCTTAAGGCTGGAAGTAGCCCCGGTCGCTGCGTATTCCACCAAATGTTACTTACAGCTCTCTGCAACTAGGCTGAAAAAGTCACATAGGCACGGATATGGCCGCAGCTGGCTGGGTATGGTGAGCTTAATGAGCTTTCACAAGGCTGGAATTGACTTAGATTAACGGCAGGATTGGATGTTTGTATGTGTTTTATCAACAGAGCTGCTTTTTTGTACCGGTCTGTCTTGTGTTATGTCTTCACGCTCCAGCTGCGCGGTGCTTTTATCTGGCCAGCGCTGGTTGTTTGCATCTCTGAGATAATACTGAGGTCTGTCTCGGTGTAACGTGGCTCACTGCTCTTCTGTTCAGATGGAAGGTCTGGCAGAACTTAAATTTATAAATCACGTTACAAAATGCTTGGTGATGTTAAGCTAAGCAAACTGCTAGTCGATGAATGCATGTTTTCACAGAAACTCAGATTGCTGTAATTATCATCTTGTGTATTGTCATAAAAGCTCTTGCTTTGCCCGGAGTAATAAAAACATAAATGTGTAAAACTGTAATTCTGGAGGCTGTTGTGATTGACGTAAACCCAAGCTTTCAGACTTGTTGTCATGCAGCTGTTGCTGTGATTTTCTGGAGCCCATCAGCTTCATGGGGGCTCTGCCAGTGCTCCGCAGTCTGTATGCGACTCACCAGGGTTCTGTCTGCAGTGTGACTTTAAATTTTCAGTCACTATGAATGTGATCCCTATTGTGTGTGATCCACCAATTAATGAAGAGTAATGTGATAGTTAAGTCTCCTAGTCTGCTTGACACTTGTTAGTCATGCTTTCCTACTTGGCTGCATTTTCAGTTTTGTTTTTCCAGTGCTGTGGCTCTGGTTTATCTCAGTATATTCTAGTGCTCTGAATTGAGGTGCTGTACTTGGTACGTTGAAAGTAAACGTGAGAAGGAAATAATTCTGTAACAGAAGAATTTCTTGGATCAGTAACTTGATTGTATTAAGACAAAGCTGGGGACCCTTAGAGCAGGCCATTTGACCGTTTATAATCAAGGCCACTGAGTGGCAATGAGTAAATAGATTAATGTGTGATGAGTCACTGCCATACTAAAAAAAAAAAAAAACAACAAGCTGTAACTTGTGTTCATTGGCATGTTGAATAGTCCAGGAAAAGGCTATCACTTAAGTATATGTCTCTGCTAATTTTTGGAAACTGGCTTTACTCTGTCCCCAGAAAGATGTTCAAATTAATCATTGCACACTTATGGATTGAAACAGATAATACTGGCAGACCCTGCAAAGTACTGTTTTATAGGATGGGTTGAAGTCTAAAGGGCTGAAGCTGAGCTTTATAGTGCTCTCATCAGTCAAGCATAAAGGCATGTTCAAAAACTTTCTGATCTTGAAAGCTCTATTTCTGATCTCTTCAAATCAAGGAGAGAACTTGAATTAAAACAAAAACCAACCAACCAACAAAAACCCAAAATGAAAGAGCACAACCAAACAAAACACCTGTAAACTGATAAATGTTTGCTGTAAGCAAAGTCTGAGGCTGGCCCAAGGTTAAAAGGTGTCTTCATATGTTTACAAGATATCTCTGTTGGTGTTGTTTATGTGAAGTGAAAGCAGTAATTGAGTCACCTGCAGGAAAGCTGAATCATTTGGCATTGCAGTCTATGTTAGGTGTCTTGCTGTCCTCAGTTACTATTTTTTCAGTGTGGTGACAAAATATGTTGTTCAGCCCTGCTTTAAATGCCTTGCACTCAGATTTTGATCTGCTGTTTACTTCCAGCTTACCTTGTTTATGCTTTGCTTGGCTACTTCTGGCAGCATAGTATAGTGTATATTTTGCAGCATGGTTTTATTGCTGTTGTGGATATGAATTATGTAAGATGCTTAAAGATGCTGAATTCCTCGCTATCAGTAGAAAAGGGAATGAGAGACTCTCAGTGGGTGAAAACTTCTAATTCTTGCAGTGTTGGCTTTGATGATGCTTTGGGCAGTGGTGCCAGACTGAGCATGGCCAGAAGTAATTGCTGCTTAAACTGGGGCGGTGATGCTGTCCTCTCCACCCTGCAGGAGAATCAACTACCAGAAGTGGGAGTGACATTCAAGTGGTGTTATTCAGAGCCAACTTCTGGGCACTGCGTGCTCAGATTCCATGACCTGCTTGTAAGTGGAAGGTGGTGATAAGATGCGCCTCACCTCTGGAGCTTAACTAGAGGCAAATGAGCATTCATGTATTATTAAGTGATTCAGGAAATTAGTGCTACAGTATTGTTTTTCATCTGTTGAAAATGGTTGTTAATCATCAACTGAAGCAATGCCTCTTTAAATATATTTTCTAATAAGAAGCTTATTACCAAACAGTGTTTTTTCTGAGTATCAGGGAAGAGATTTCAGGTTAAGTGTCTTTCTGAGAGCATGAAATCTGAACTGACTCACAAATCATCATGCCATCTAACTCCGTAGCTATGTGTACTCACTTTACACCTCAAAGGCGTTACTGAGCTCATGAGGAAAATTACTAGTTAGAATTTCTGATATTCTTCTCTTCTAGTCAAATGCTGTGAGGAAAGATTCCTTTACGTGAAGTCCAGTGCCTATAAGTGCTCAAAGAGGCCTTAGTGAAGCAGGAGGCCATGCTTGACTTCATGTAAGGAGTGATGCTGCTGATGCTGGTCGATGCTTCAGTTGCTTGAAGGTTGCAGAGCCCTTCTGAGTACAGTAGAGGGATGATGATGTGTGTGCTAGCTTGTGCTATTGAATTAGATCTTGATGCAAAATAGGCTTCCTGAGGTGGTTTGTCTTAGAAATTGCCTGTGTTATGGAATATATTCCACGAGAGAGCTGCAGCTTTGGGAAAGTTCTTTATTATGAGTTACTTCGTTAGGGACCTTGAGCTGTTTTCTTGATACCTTGTTTTAGCTGCAGTGGTTACCGGGCTGTTTCTCACTTATGCCTGCACATTCTGTTCCTTCCTTTCAGTGCTCTTAGCTGACAGCACAATGTACCTTGTGGCATATGCGACAAACCAGATGTCAAACTGATACATATTAAATGCAACCCACCAGAAATAGGGCTTGAATACTGAGCAGTTAATTTGCTGCTGCTGCTTGCTTCTTCTAACAAAGGGAAACAGGATGAGGGCAGGGGTAAGCTGCTGCATATTCTTCATCTACTCTGATTATTTTATGTATGAAACATCAGTTTTGTACTTTCTGACTGTGAGGTGAGACCGTCAGTACGGGAGTATTTTTCTATTTTGCTTAGGTAAGATCTACTTTATCCACTTTCTGTAATGGAATGTAGTCAACTTTGATATAAGACTTAAAGATGCCTGCTATGTGTTGACCTGGTGGCAAACAAATACGTCTCAAGGTGCCAAGTTACTTGTTTAGCTTTCTTTTGAATCTTAGTGGCAGAGGAGAAGCTGAATATAACAAGGCTGTTCCTGTCTTCTCCTTTCTTCTTCTTATATGTAGAGGTCTGGAACTGTCAAATCTGTCCCAGACCAAATGCAGAGGTATCCTGGAGTTCCTGCCCTCCCTGGAATGACTTTGGTTTTAAATAAATAAAAAGCTGTTAAGCTTCATGTGCTGTTTCTTGTGAGCTGACAATTGTTAGCTTATACAGGGGGGAGTAAAGTTGTTTTTTGTTTTTTTTTTTTTTGGTCACACTTAAAATGAATCTGTAATTCAGACGTATTTTAGGCTTGTGTTTGATAGCAGAAATCAGATATCTTTGATCTCTATAGGTTAGAATTAACTAAATAATAATGAAGAGGAAATTGCAGAATTAATTGCAGTGAAAATATTTAAAACCGTAGGCGCTGTTAGGAAGCATCCCTTCATTTGAGAGGGGTCTGCATCCATACAAGAAGCCTTTTGGTCTGAGTACCGATGTTACAATATGCTCCTTCAAAGGAGCTCCTTGTGCTCCTTCAAAGTAATTCTTTTTTATTATTATCTTTGATACTGTTAAGTGTACAGGAGAGACCTCAAGCTGCTGGAGTTACATTATTACAACACTGCAGTGTGTGTTTAGGGGTAAATCTTTGTTTTGACTCATGCAATATCTACCCTGTCCTTGACTGAGACATGGGGCTGTTGCTGGCACAGGTGTCAGTGGGCAGGATGAAAACACTTGGCTTTTTTTCTGTTGAAAAATAAGGTGTTTTATGATGAAATTATCCTTATGAAAGAATGGTTGTAGCTGTATCATCTTAAATTGAGAGACTTAAGCTGCTTTTCTGAAGGCTTTGGGTGCCATGAGGAAGTAATTTGGTGGGCACTTGAGCATTTCCTTGTAATGTGAGTGGGACCAACAGCACAAAAACATTCTTTTGCATCTGTTTCAAATTGTATTGCATGCCAACCACAGCTGGAGTCCTGCAATGTCAAGGCACTTCCACTGAACAGTTCCCTTGAACTGC